AGAGAGAGAGTATGAGAGAATTTAGGGGAGAGGGGTCTGAGTGGTAGAAGGGGGGAGAGAGGAGAGAGAGAGAGAGAGAGAGAGAGAGAGAGAGAGAGAGAGAGAGAATAGAGAGAGAGTATGAGAGAATTTAGGGGAGAGGGGTCTGAGTGGTAGAAGGTACCTGGAGACAGAAAGGCAGGTGCAAAAGGAAAGAGAGAGACCCAAAGAGAGAGACAGGAGAGAGACTGTGAATGGGAAAGCAAGACAGCCAGGGAATGAGAGACAGAGATAGAGACCCAGGAGGCATCAAAAGGAAGGTGGAGAAAAATTGGAGAGGGGCCAGGCTCAGAGGAATGAAGGAGGTCAGAGAGAAAGGACACCACTGCCTCCTTCCCCACGCGCATCCCCAGCCCCTTATTCCTACCCCCATCCCCATTTCAAAGCCACCACCCCCACCCCCACTAGCCTCCATCTCTCCACAGCATCGCTTGCCGCTGCCACCGCCTCTTCCTGTCGTCATAGCAACAGGATCCAGGCGCCCAGCCAAAGCTGGCAGCAGCGGCCGGAAATGAGGGGAGGGCCTTTTAAAAAGGACCCCAGGAGCTCTCCCCTTTCTCGAAATCAATGGGAAAACTCAACTTCTCTGGGTCTTCCCACTCCCACCACACCCCCTCAAATGGCAGGGGCAAAGATTCCCTGAAAATAAAATTATATTACATTAAATTCACAAGGATAGCAAGCCTTTTGAGTTTCATCAACATTCTTTTTTTCTCCTTACCCCCTCCCCAACCCCTAACTCAGAATTTGATTTCCCCAAGATGGGGATGGGAGTGAGGAGAAGAGTAGGATGCAAAAAGCTTGAGTGGAAATACGTCTGAAAGAAATCTGTCTGGGGTTGGGTGGGAGGGCCATGCCACAATTTTGAGAAGAGTTAGAAGTAGCCAGTGGATAGGGAGTGGGACAACTTGAGGTAGAAAATTAGATGAGAGCAGAAAGTTTGGTCTTGGGTTCAAATGTCAGCGATGCCCCCAAGTGTGTTAACTTGGGCAAAACATTTCTTCTTTTCTAAATTCAGTTATAGTGTGTGTGTATATGTGTGTGGGGGGGGGGGGCGGAAACTGCCTCCAATTAAATGAGAACATTGATGAGAAAGGGTCTTTGCACGCAGCTGTAGACCATGTCCTCAGGCAAATACTATCAAGTAAGAAAAGATAACTGGCCAGGAGCCCCAGGCTAGGCAGTTGCATGTTTCTCATTGTCTCGTGAAATTCTTACAGAATCCTTGCAATGTGGGCACTGATGTTCCCATATTATAGATTAGCAAACCGAGGCTTAGAGGTGGATAGTGATCTGCCCATGATCACCCAGGGGACAAAAGGCAAAGGTGGAGATGAAGCAGCCTCTGTGAGGGATTGCCAGGGGTGGACTGCAATAGGCAACCTTCAGAGCCACTTA